GCCCCCCCCCCCCCCCCCCCCCATGAGCTCCGAAAGGAGCGCTCTGCTCTAGTGTCACTTAAATAAGGAATCATTTTTTTTCTTCATGTGAAAAGGGCGGCCAGTGGTTTCATTATTTGTGTTCTGTAGAATGTGAAACAACATGGAGGCTGTGAATTCTGTATCTGTTTTAAGGGAACAGCTAATGAAACAGTGGAGCTAGGCATATGAAATTTTGTATGGAGGTTGATCACAAATATTGCTTCAGATTTTCAACAACCATTCTGTTAAAATGTTAAGAATTACAAGATAGAAATGATGTGAGCATGTGTCAGACAAATGTAATAGAGTCACAGTTTGTATTAGTGCATACTAGATCTGTCACCCTGACAATATTAAAATTATAAATGTAATTTTTTTCTACTCCTTTGTTATTTTACCACCTAAGTCTGTCTTCCTTCATGAGGGATGCGTGTGTGCTGTTCACACAATTCTGCCCAATTTATTGACTAGGCTATGAGCTGCGTAATTGTGGTGTGATTCCCTCAGGAGTAAAGCAGCCAGGACATGGTCTATTAATGACTCATCTCAGTGTAATGGTGATTGTAAAAATATATGGAGCTATCCCATCTTAATAAAATCTTCGCGGGCAATGAGCCGCGTCAGCTGGCTACTGTAGTAAACCAACATTTCAGGAACCAACTCTGACCCCATCATCAGGGTTCTGATTGCCCGAGAAGATTTTATTAATTGTACTCGACGCGAAACTCTCCAATCCTGTATCCCATCTCACCTCCACATGGTGTGGTGCTTAATTAAGCATTGGAATGACTTTATCCTTATCTCCTTCAGAAGACACTAGAGTGATGTAGCACTTTTGCTACATGTTTGGTTTTTTTAAAAACTTCATGTTTTCTTTCAGGTCAACTTCCAAGACGTGTGTTCGAGGCATTGGATGACAGCAAAGATGTCTCATTTGATCACGATGAAAATAAATATAAACGGCGGTCAGCTGTGGAATGGTTTTCTCGGTGGTGGAAGTAAGTTTTCACATTCCACATTGTGCAGAATGAACTTTTTACTGTTTTCCATGTCATGTAAGCACATTTGTTCCAGGTCAATTTCGGGTCCACCTCGAGGCCGTAAGACTGGCGGTCACCTATACAGACGTTACTGGATGGCAGCTGTTCTCTTTGTCGTGGGCCTTTTGACGCTTGTCGTCGTATTTTCGTGGCTGGGCCGTTTATCTACCGCAGATGATCCAAGTTTTGATCCCCTTCAGAATCCTAACATTCGAATTGCTAAACAGAAAGAATAATAGTATCTGGACGTCGCTCATGGTATGTACGATGCGGCGTGCCGAATGATCGGCGGTCTTTACATGTGAATGTACGCCTCGAACAGAGTTGCATATTCATTAAAATATCAGTTCATAAGAAACTAATCCTCCGTTGAGGAGGGTCTGTGTGTAAAGACTGAACAGATTTGTTCATAGTGGATCACCAAATATAATGTTGTCTGAAAACAGTTCTTGAGATTTCACAAGAAATCTGCTGATGCGTTGAGTGGATGGCAGGAGGGGGTGACGCACAGTATGTACCCAGCAGTACAACAGAAACTGAGTCACTCGTGTACACACACTCCACAATTTTACTATTGTTCAATCAACGCTAGTTTCTTGTCATGCCTCATAAACTGTATATTATTAGATATGTGGTCTGCAGTTTATAGCTACAATTTAAATGTGTAGATTGTGTTTTTCTGGTTTGTGACACAGTTTAGTCTTGTGAACAGTTTGTTCGATTTGAGGTTCTCATGGCGGAGAGTTGGAGATGGCTGTCTTCTGGGTTATAGTCTGGTGGAAGTTTAGCGATGTTTCACAAGTCCTTGTTCCCTCCATCGTCAGTTTAACTTCAACCAACTATACAGCACAGCATCCTAGATGACAGCCATCTTTCTAAGTGGTTACCACAGTTAGAGAACTATGTTACATTCATCTTCAGGGTAATGTTGATAACAAAACTACACAGTATCACAAAATCAATAAGAATATGCTCCACATTTTGACCACAATGAAAGCTTCAGTGCCTAAGTATGTTCACATTTACTACCTGGGATGTTGTTTTAGCCGTAAATTGAGATGACGCATGAACAATATGCTTGAAGTAACCAGTTCCTGTTCATGGGTAAGTGTTGTGATGTGGATTGCTCTTTCTTACCAGTGTGTCTTATTCCAGATGAAATTCATCATTAAAGAACTTCATGTGAGGGGAAATGAAGAAAGTTGTTTCAAGCACAAATAAGTTCTCATAGACCAAGATATTCATGATCATATCTGTGGGTAAAGTTACAGGTCTACATCAGTGTTCCTCAGTTGGTGGGTCACAATCATATGGAATAAGAGATTTAATTTGAAAGCAAATGACAAACTGCTGTAGGGTCTCAAAGCTATCATGAGTGTGACCAGTCAAAAGTTCTGTGGGCAGTTTTGTTTTACAAAATACATGTTCCATATAATTTGTGCAAGTTATTTATGATTTTGTAACAGATGTGCAAAATTTGTTAAATTTTTAGTTAATAATTTTCAGAATTCTTAAGTGAAATTACAGAACACTTCATTTGCTGGGCATTTGAACATGTTGTTAACCAATATTTGTATGACCTTCATATGAATCAATAATAATTATTAAATTTTGTGGTGGTGTTAATTATGATTAACACCACCACAATTTTTTTTAATAGTGAATAGGTATGTATAGGTGACAGAAAGTTGCATGCATTGCTTCAGGGTGCAGATATGGAGGCCATAGTAAGATAATATGAACTGTATCAATTTATAAAAGTTTACTGTGTAATAAATAAATTTAAGTACATGCATGTTTGCAAAAATCCTACCACTGACCATATCCTAAGCCAGATTAGTCCAGTGTTCATCATATTTCTTCATATCCATTTTAATATTTTGCTCCAGTGAGTAAGCTACGGCACACGGAAACAGTCGGTCAAGACAGGACCTTGGCCAGACCAGCGGGGAGTAAGGTCAGGATTTGGCAAAGGCCTGAGAGCCAGTAGGAGAGGAGGGGCATGTTACAGGCCCTTGCCTGCTCCTGACATTACTCCCCGCTGGTTTGGTAAAGATTCTGCCTTGACTGACCAGTTCCAATATCTCAGACCGTTTTGACGCGTGTGGTTTACTCGTCGCCCTGTCGATGGAGGGAGCGATGGCATCCGAAACATTGGTAAACTTCTCCCGGGCTACATGGCACTACAACCCAGAAGACAGCCGTCTTTGTATTCATCTTCATGAAAACCTTAAATTCTACAATATCTTTATTCATCTATTTTCCCATGTGTGCTACATGTTCCATTATCTCATTCTTGTTAGTTTGACCGACTAAATTCATTCACTGCAGAGCTTGCAGTAATACAAGATGTGCTAGCAGCCAGTTTCTGGAGAACTTCCATTATTTGGAGTTTAAACTTTGCAGTTTTGTATCACATTTAGGCACCAGTATTTTTTCTGGAAGTGTAAGATGTCTGTTAGAATATATGTACAAGGTTTTGTCTGTATTACATATTACTTTTTCTCTAAAATGTTGAAAATACACAGCTTTGTTTTTTAGTTGCACTAATTTGTAGTTAGCATTGTCAAGTTACAGAATAGCGATGGCTTCTCTTAGACATAAACAGATTGCAGAAGATTATGTCAGTGAGGTCTTGTTTGCAGATTTGGAGTCTTATTGTGAATGAAGGAACATAAATAGTCTGATTAAAGTAAAACATTTTAGAAATTTATTTACACAGTCTAGGCATTTGTACTGATAAATATTATGTAGTCAAAGAGTTAATAAGTGCTGAAGAGGACAAATTAAGATGCCACTCATTACAAAATTTTATCTGTTCTGCAATTTCCTCCCCAGTAGGTGTTAATATTTTTCTCAGTACCATATTCTTCACTGTTTTCAGTGTGGTAAGATTCAGGTTCTCGGTGACAAGTATCGAGAGGGTTGTCTCTTAAGATGTTGCATTGTGTAGTGTGGTAGATGGTGGCCGATATTTCAGAGTTGCAGTTAGACAGTATACACCTCTGAAATGTCAAATTACATTAAACCAAATTAGGTAATGTCCGTAAGACAGACATCTTAATTTCCTGTTATTTGTCTGGGCAGGAGACTAAGTTTCAGACACACAAAACAGAATGTAAAATTGTATGTACTATTTTAATCTTTATACTTAACGGTTGTAGAAGCATGTTGTTTTATCTGCTGAAGAGGACAAACGAGCAAAGTCCGAAAATGGTGAATGGTGCACTCTTAGTTCCCCAGTCTGCATAGTTGCATAGATCACTGTTACATAAGCATATTGTAGTATTTTGTTTCGCCATATGCATGCAACCTTCTTTACGAACTGTGCCCAACTTGTCAGCCGGCCTTTGACAGCCACGATCAGTTAGAACAATATTATTCTTCCATATAACTTTTTTAACACAGTAGTGGCTCTGTTTATGTGGACATGATAATTGCATTGATAGTTTTTCTGCTTTTGTAGTAACTTTCCAGAATGTATGATCACAGAGTGGTGGAATGTCTGAAATGCTGTTGCTTTTACACTGATAGCACTTAAGATGCTTATCACTGGACACTGTAACCAGTTGTACAGAGTGACATGACACTGAGAGATATACCAAGATCACAAATTTCATCATCAAACTCATAACCACGTTGTTATTTCTCAAAAGATATAGTCTTAAAATCAAAACCAGCTTGTTGCAGTGTTCACCAACAGTATCTCCCTTCAGATTCGTTTCCATAACAACCGAAGGAAGTTTGTTACATTGTTGTAACAGTAACAATTGTTGTTTCTCGGCTCTACAACCCTGTAACACAATACAGTATTTTATATTTGGTCCAGTTTCCACAAGTCATTGAAAATATATATTTATAAATTCAAATAATGTTAATGAATTTTATAGTACAGTTTTTTCATTAATCAAAATTTAATAAGTGAAGGATTTAATGATTTTATATAATAATCGCTGTTGGTTGGCAGCCTGGTTCATCTTTGTTTAGTGTTACGGGATTTTGAACCTTATGGAATAATATTAATGAATGTGGTAACCGTTGCCTTCGTATTACTGTTAAGCGATTTTGAACCTTACGTTCTCCGTCTGAATATTTATGAGCCTAAACAAACATGGTGCGCTTGCGTAACAAAGCGTATGACAGCTTTCTTTGAAGCCATGTTTGAACTTTGGAGGTTTAGCTTCTTGGTCATCCACACTTTTTTTGAACTCGTATAGCAATTCCTGGCGGAAATTTGTTTTCGGAATGGTTTTCCAACAAGCCATAAGACGAATGCAATGTGTCAACGATGTCTGATTCTGAATTTTCTGTCGCTTAAAGAAAAGCCGTCAAAAGTTACGGAGTTATAAGACTGTTCTCTTCAATTTTCTTTTTGCTACCTATATTTTATTTGTTTAGAAGTCTGTTATGCAGGAATACTTGGTGCGTATAAAACTCGAGAAAATACTGTGTGAAGCTAGTTTGGATACAGAAAATGTGTTTAAACTAAGGCTATCTGTAGAGGTAAGCATTTTTTTGATGCATTTCTTATTCAGAATCTTCTGAAACAAGATGCTTTATCACTACTGCATTTTCATTTTTATTCAGGGTGTGTCATTGGAAAGGTCCTAGAAAATCAGATGAGGTTAGAACTGAATGTGACACATCAGCTTCTTGTTTAAATGTTAATTTATTGGACAGATAGAAAATTACACATAAAGACAGTAGAGTAATGAGGATGTTGTTCTGAAAGCAAATGCAGAAATAACTGAAAAATCTGTTTTATCACTGTCCTTGTGACTGTTCACTGCCATTAACATCCATCCAGTAATGTGTCAGAACATTTATCATTCACAGAATTCACAATGCCACTGCCTGAATTTAATAAACTGTGTTCTTGATAACTTACTCGTAAGTTTTCAGCCAATTGCATGAGACCACAGAGAATTCATTTCCTAATACCACTATCTGCTATAGCCTGACTGTAGGCAATAATAAATATTAAGTATAAGAAAGCAAGTGGTAATAACAAAACTGATCTTCTTTCTTGGAATGAATAAACAATATTAAGCCAGCCCTGAAATGACTATCATCACATTGGGGCACAAAATAATCTGTTTATACAAAAATTAAAACACTGCACCTACTCAGTTGCATGCATCAGCGATTTATAAGCACAAAGAGGACTCATCACATTTGATGCATGGTAGCTTTGTTCTATTTAAAGACGCACATGGGAAGTCTTGAAATTAGTCATGTAGTAGAATGTTGAAGTTAGCAGTGGTACCAACCTATGCTGTGTTTGTGGGACTGTGGCACATGATTCGTAGGCCTGACATACTGAAGATGTCACACAGTGGCCAGGGGTTAGTGTTACTGATTATGTCCCAATTTTTGTCGGTGTTAACGTCTCGTAGCTGGGATAAATAAGCAAACGTGATGTGTGCTGAGTGTTTCATTGCCATTTCAAAAGTCACATTAAACATTAAAATGTCAGGATGATATGAGGAAAGGAATTGTGGAAACACCAAATTTAAAGAAAAACAGAAAGATTATGCCAAAAGCACAGGGGAAGTGATAAAGTAATAGAAATAAGGACACATTTATGAAGAAAACTCAAAGGAGAAGAAATTGAGACGTTATGAAATGAAAGTTTGCTATGACTCAGTTTATGGCACACAGATCAGATTCAATAAACCCAGTGGTTCATTGTCTATTTTCCATAATCTTTTCAGTTTGATGGTGAGATTCAACTTGTTCTTTGAACTGGATGATTAAGGCACAAAGCATACGACAACATTGTAATAAGTGCTCTGTTGACCAAACAAGGAACATACAATAACAGACATGACTGATCAGCAATGTACACAAAATTTAGTTTGGTTCAAAATTCAGGCATCTGCATGAATCTTTGCACAAGATAGTCTCGAAGCCAAGTTGGAGAAGTTTTAAACAGAAAATGATAATAGCGGTATCGGGGAGTTGCACATTCATAGTGAGGGCAGGGATACTTGGAAAGAAGAGCATGTTCTAGCATTGAGTATAGCTTTTCTTCCTGTAGTGGAAGTGGTTTTCTTGGTGTTGGCATGCCAGATAAGTATTCATTGTACCTTCTGAAATAGTCACCAAAAAATTTGCAATCAACAGGTGTCATTGCTTCTTCCATCTCCTTAGCATACTCTTGTTGTTTTGCCAAGATGCTGGTGTGCTGAAAAAAAGATCCTGAAAAATAATATATTTGTTTGATGATGCAGGTCTTGCAGATACAGTGATATTATCATTTCTTAACATACTGGGTATCATACAGGAATTATCCTCTTTTCATAAATGGGGTATTTACAGTATTTGCCAGGCAAAGAATCTTCACAACAGAATCCTTTTTGAAAACCTAATGTTCTATCATCTGGTCAAGAAATTCCATGCTTTTCATGACACTCGAAGGCTTATTATACTATGTTCGTAACAGCCTACCATTGAGTTCTACTGTCACTCATACAAAACCAGTCTTCATCCTCACAGAGTTTCTTAAGATCCACATTAATATTATCCTCCTATCTACACCTAGGTCTTCCAATGTGTCTATTCCCTAAAGGTTTTATGACTAAAATAGGCAATGAAGTTGTACGCTATTTGATGTCATTTTGATTTTGTCTGATCAGTGATTCAAGTTCTGCCTCAAGCCACGTGCAGCAACATTTATCCCAGGATGGCTGTCTTCTGTTTTGCTGCGCCGTGTAGTCTGGTAGAAGTTTAGCAATGATTCAGAGGTCCATGCTGCCTCCATCATCAGGCAGACTACAGCTTAGCAACCCAGAAGACAGCCACCTTCAGTCTCACCACTGTGACAACATCAAATCCAAAATTTATCCCACCACAAACAGTTTTGTCCCTGCCCTAGAATTTATTACTGAGCAGAAAATTTGCACATCTTGACAAATGCAGCCAGCCTGGCCCCTTCATGGGGCTCACAATGTGGGGCCATCAGAGGATGTGACCTGGCAGTAATTTATGGAAAGAAATATGCCTGCAAAAGATTCTGTGTTTCGAAAGTTTAAAACAAAAGCACAAAATGTTCTCTGCATGCAAAAAATATATTCAGACAGTACACGCTGGTACTATAGACATTAGTTACTAATATAAAACTTGTTGGTTTTGTGTGCCATAATCAGTAGACTCAAAGACTGTTATAATTTTGTTGCATTTTTTTCGCGTACCTGGAATAAAAGAGATGACAGGCACACCGTACTTAGCCTGCTCGACTCGGAGGCCATCACACCACGCCAGGAGGCCTGCTTTGGTGGCGCCATACACAGCGAGACCTGGCAGAGCTGCCAGTGCACAGTGGCTACTGATTGCGATGACGCGACCTACATGGATACAAAGACCAGTGAATGGTACTAATGCTGTTATTTTAAAGGGACACGCAGAGACATGGGACTTGTTTTAAGGTGCGAACCCAGCATTTACATGGATAGATGCAGGATAACTAGAAAATACCTCAGGCATTATAGTCAATTTGCAAGAAATTTTCACTTGTAAAGTATAAATGACTGGGCTGATGGGGAAAGGCATTCAAATGGAAGGTAATTTGTGATCCAGAGGCAGTGTAGTTTTTAAAACATTTCACAGACATAGATATAAGAGTGATATGAAGGGGTAATTAGTGGGTGTGGAGGTAAAACTCCGTGTTCCTATAAAGCGTTGGCACACATGTAAAATGTTACATGGCACATCACAAAAGACTGCCATCTGTGTTCACATAGTTATAATTTATGGTGAACAATAAACGAAGTAGTGAATGTTGCTGTAGCAGAACGGACAACGATATTTGTGTATATACCTTTGTATTTCCTAAGCATTGAAGAGAAACTCTTAGTGGTCCGCATTGCTCCTAGAAGATTTACATCAATCTGTTTTAGTATGTGCTGTTCTGTCAGCCATTCAAATTCACCGAATATCATAACGCCAGCATTATTAATTAAAGCTCTGAGCTCTGAAACAGAAAGAAACATATTCACACATTTAATTAGGTCTAACTAAATAACTCCACTGGACCGGAGTTGTAGTTAAGAAAATTCCGCTCCGTTTATGGAAACTACAGGTTTTATTACTGCAGTTAAGATAGCCAGCTACTGGTTCCTGTCCTGATTTTACGAGGTCTCGGACCCTGTGAATCATGTAACATGATAGTTTCTTATGGAGAGAATAGTTGGTCCCCCACTCAACCCCAAATTTAAAGAACTACCCCTTGTCAGCTGTCTGTGAATGCTTATTCAGTATATTCACAGGTGTCCTTCATCTCATTCATCCATAACCTGAAGATGCAAGGCTCTGGTAACAAAGGGCATACTTAACATTGGACTTAAACCTTTTGTTATCAGTACAAACTATTTACAATCTTATCTCAGTTGAGTATTTTGGTGGCGTTGAAACATCTGACTGTTTAGTGAACACTGATGGCCATGAACTTCTCAGAAACAGATGCATGGTGATAATTTTAGGCATTAGTTTTAAATATCAGGTTTTTGACGGAGGACAGAGGTCAGTTTCACGTTCCGGCCACTTTACCTTGCAGTACAGAACCTCCCGCCGAACGAGCTAAAATAATTACAATAAAAACATGTTTGCTGCTGCAATTAGGCTGTTTGGGGCAGTGCCCCATCTGAAATATGATCGCAGTTTCGATATATTGACTCTACGTACACACTGACACACGGATGGCGGACAATCGCGAGACTGATTAGCCGGGCCTTTTACGAAAAGAATAAGACCCAGTGCGCACGAGCGGTTCTTCTGCCGCATTGATGGAACGCACTGTTTCAGTAGGAAGCGAGCGCAGTTTTACCTCTGCGGGTTTTCGAACTCAGCACGCTTCATTCTCGATGCGGTGCGGTGGCGATAGAACACGAAGAACCCTACGTGTGTGCGCGCACGAGCGGCGAAGAGCCACAAGGCGGCCATTGTTTGCCCGACAGTCGTGAAAGTGAATAGGAGAACAGTCCGGCCGTATCGGAGTAACGTAACAAAAACTCTGAATGGAAGTCTGTGAAGCTCTACTGCCGAACTCGAGTCAACTTGAAAAAAAAAAGGTATCAGAAGAACCTCTTGCATGTTCGTCGTGGGGTTGTCCTGGAGAATTCCTTAGGCGGTGGTGGATTTGATCCTATGAGAGTCGGATGTTTTGTATTCGTTTAAGTTTGATTGGGATAAGTTACATTGGATTACGTTGCGTTTTGGGTTAGGTTTGGTTAGGTTAGGTAAGGTAAGGGTAGGTTGTTGAGGTTAGGTTAGATAATGTTTTTTACGATGGGTTAGGTTGTGTCTTGGAGAACTTCTAGCATGTTCATCGGGTGGTCGTATGGTTGTCCTGCCGATCTGCGGGAATCTGAGTATCAATAGTCATGTCAGTTTGAGGTCACGGCGAGGTCATCGTTATGTCATGGTCTCGACAACATCAGTCCGTGGGTTTTCGTTATTGAGGTTTTGAAAATTTTCCAGGTCGTTCGAAAGTCATTTTTTCAAATGCATATTTTTGTCGATCTGCAGGAATCTGAGTGACCATGTTGATGTCTGTTTTGAGGTCACGCACATGTCAGCGTCATATTATAGTCACGACAAGGTGCTTGGGTTTTCCGAATCGACGCTTTTAAAATTCTCAAGATCATTCGACCACCACTGTCAGAAAGCTGGATTAGACTGTGACCGTGATAGAAAAATATGAAATTATGTTATTATTGACGAGGACTAATACAGGCCACCAACAACTGTCAATTACTCGGAAACATTAAGAGATGGAGTGATTATGTGACCAACCAGCGCACAATGAATGTGCCATCACCAACAGCATTCTGTGGAAGGCGTTTAAAGAATTATCGTTTAGTGTCCCAAGGTTTTATTGAAAAACTTTGCAATTATTTCCTTATCGTTGTCGGTCATAGATGAAACCACACGTGTCAGGCACTCGAGGCCCCTGGGTCGTCGCCCTGACCGTTCGCTGCCCCCTGCTTTGACATGCATGAGTATAATAAATGGATGACAGAATCAGTCATTCACTGAATACGTTTATAGTTGAACGCTTTCAGTGACCAAAAATATGTAAAAGAAGGAGTTTTTGGTCACCGCCTTGTCATTATGCCGGCCCGTCAACGATTAAGTGTCGCAGTTGGCCTGGTGGTTTGTTTGTGCGGGCGATATTAGGAGACGGAGAAAACTTTGCCTTACGACTGTCTCTTCCGAGTCGTAAGTGTCTAAAGAACGTGGGGGGGGGAGCCAAAATTTAGCCAGTCAAGTGCATAAACATTGAACACGTGCATCCTTTAATAAGAAGTGACTGGTTTTTCATCTTTCGTAAAAATCCATTATTAATTATTAATACAAATAAATATGGCGCGAAAGTACGTGTTGAGCATTTACATGTTAAAGTGATTAAAATGGAAAAGAAACTTTAAAGATCCCCGGATATGTGCTTTGGATATTAAAATGTTATAAAATTGCCACACTAGATAGATAATACACGAGTAGTCGCTGCCCGTCCATTATGTGACGTGCGTGTTGGCCTACCGTAGTGCGGGTTGTGTGCCAGCATTTCTTGGACGGTTTCCGCTGCAGTCTGCACGCTGACGTCGCTGGTAACATCGAGTTGCAGTACGTGCAGTCTCTGAGGACACAGCTGCAGCAACTCTGTGCTTCCTGCTCCATTGGCTTGCAGACAGCCGGCGACCACCGTGTACCCCAGTTTATACGCGTGCAAGGCGAAGGAGAACCCAAGTCCCGAATCGCAGCCCGTGATGAACACTAGTTGATTCTCGGAAGCTGTTGAATCCTCCTTCCTTCCCAGAAAGTGGCGCGTTGCGGATGCTTTGAAGTTGAAATAAGCACATCGCAAGAGACACAGTGCCGCCACTGCACCGCATCCAAAAACAAGTTTCCTTTGTGCAGGCGTCGAGAACACAGACCCCATGACGTTGAGTGCTGACTGGTTAGGGCAGTTTTCTGGTTCCTGTCACCTCTGACGGAGGTAAGTCGCTACTTGTTGGCTATGACTATAGGTACCCTTTATCACCGCTAGAATATGGGAGCGCTGCTTACTGCCTGTCCTCTTTCCACATTTCTAAGAAGGATGTCTTGGGCATTTCCATTGTTCGGTCACAGTCGTCAGCTCTGTCAGCAAAGAGCCGTGGCATTGTTTGAATACGAACATGTTAGAATTTGATAGCGGCAAAGCTACTACTGTCTTACTTTGAATTGCATATAATGGCATTCTGTGTCTTTTGTTTTGTTTTCTGATCATGGCATTGTCTAAACTGGAAGGCAGACTACAGGAAATATGCGGTTTGCCTGATACTGTCATTTCTGCTGTTAAACGCTTTTCAGATATGCATTTTTTTGTTTGTAGCTGTTAAGAATATGTACTGCTTGTTAATTCTCTGATGTGCGAGGGTTTAAGACCATTCTAATTTTAAACCAAGTCCCAAAGAATTTATGTTATTTTAATTCACACTTTAATATGGTAACGCTGCCAGTAAAAGTCAATATGACGGACGCTGTGGCGTGAATGTCGACAGAGCATCTTAAAATGGTAAAATCAATTTATTTTTAGCGACATAGACCACATGAATAAATATATATTTGCGTTAAAAGCGAGGAAGTTAGCGTCTCAGAACGCACATATTTTTTTAAATGGAGAAGATCTGTGGACTTAGCCAGTTGTTCGACTCAGCTTTGAAGGAACAAAGCCCAAAGTTGGCCCCCACTCGCTGATCGACCTTGATGACCAGGCTTAGAATTTCCAGACTCCCTTCACAAATAATTTGATTTTATAGCTTGTCTATTTTAGGTGGACGCCTGTTATGCGCATCACAGGCAGAAGATACTGCCAGTTGGTGGTGTAGAGGAATATTACCTCTCGGTATTATTCTTGTACGAGTGTACTTAGGCGGAGAATTAGAAGTGCCATCTGCCTTATTGTGCGTAGTGGTTTGTGCTTTGGAACTTAGAGCTCTAGCAAAAAGACAGCCTATACCATGAAGCGGACTGGGAATTGAGAATTCTCTTAAATGACGCGTGATTTCACCTTGTGTTGTCAGTATAGAAACGTCAAAGAGGCGAGGGGGGACAACTAATGATAATACTTACTGGAAAGCTGAGGAAATGGATGTTCGCGAAATAATGCCCAGGGTATGAGGACTGGATTGATTCAGGATCATGGTCGTTGGTGGGCTCTGGTGTTATCGGTGTTAAATCTTCGTGTTCCGTTGCCAGAGGGAGCCAGTCATGAGCCCAAAGTTTTGAAACAGGAAGTCTACCAACTGTTCAATTGTTTTAAATCGTGTTAAACTTTTGGGACATGAACATTTGTAAAGTAAAATGAAATAAGGCGTTGACGTTCCCGAAATGTCAATTAACAAGTATAACAATATAAGTTTCGTCTACTAGGGTTGTCCAGTTCCTATTCAAAGTAAATAATTTAGGATGGAGGATGTAAATTATTTCGATTTGTGTGGACAAATGATTGAACACAGCGAAACGCAGGGACTTTCACGTATGTAAGGATGAGTTTTACATTTTATTTATTTAGTGTTCTGTGTGACGACAGGTCCATATGAACAGGATCCTTCCATCCTTTTCTCGGACTGGGACCTGTTCATATACGTTCTTGGCAGATGATCCAGAAGTGGTTTGCCATTGCCTTCTTCTGTGTGTGAATGGAGTAATTGTTGGGATGCCACGGAGGAAAACTCCGTGTTGCCTAGACCACGGCCTTGCCCAACAGAAGTTATAAATTCGGGCACCGCCGGGAATCGAACCCGAGACCCCAGGATTACAAGGCCAGCGTGAGTTTTACATACCAAAATAATAAATATTCTGTAGACTGTATGAACATTGACCTGGATAAGAGTCCTACACGAGTTACAACCCGCTTTCTCATAATTGAAAACTTCGACGTTTCGTCCACTAACTTTGCTTATTCTTTGCGCTTGGAACGAGAATTTAACGTAAGTCCTAGGTGCCCTCAAAATGTCCCCACGTAATCTATGTCATTTGTAGGCTATATATGAGACGCATGCTCGCTCCTGGTTGCAGTGAATAACCATTAATTTGTTTTTCACACTGGGGACGTCTTTATGCGACTTTTAACACCGACAGAAATACTCTTTTTAAAAGGCGTTTGTCACCGGACATTTCAGAGTTGCCGTGAAACATCGTTAATACATTTAATTATCTAAATAAATTTAGATCGCAGAGGAGCGGAATTACGATATTGAAACAAAAATGTCTGCGAACACGTAGTGGCAAGAAGTCTGACCGTCTGTGAAATTGGAGTAATTTGTCAATGTAATGTAGACGGCAACTCTGTTTTCTGCTTTGAATTTCTGATGGAAGCTGGTTCATGAATTGCAGAGTAAGTGTCTACAGCAGGAAGTGCATTAATCTAATTTAGATTTACCCTTTTTGTTGAGTCGGGAGGGAGATCTTTATTTTTTCTAGTGTAGACATGTTTTGTTTTGTTTCTGCCAGTTATTTATATCATCGATGGAGTTTATGGTTTTATTCAGGGGTTAGGATCTCTTGCGCGATTATTTGGAGTCTCTAAATTCAATTTCATCACTTCGGTTCTTGTAGCTTTTACATGCAAGAAACCTGAGTTTTGTGTGGGAAGTCTTTATGTTAATGGTAGGCCGCTTGTAGGCAACATGTTTTTCAAAAGTGAGGTTAAGATCCATTTCTATTTTTGATACAGAATGAGATCCCAAACACGCAATAAATACCTCATTAATTTCCGGACTTCTTATTTCCCTCGGAACCCTTAAAAACTGCGAAGTGTTTGGGCGGACCACATAAGAGCTTCCCCCCCCCCCCTGGAATGCACTACGCTGTAGATGTTAAAATGAGAATAATTAAGTTGAAAATATCTGGCTCTTCTGCGGGCCTGCTACTTCTTTATACACTGTATTATTATCTTTTACTTTTTTGGTAATACCAATTGTTTCGTTGACCATCAGAATGAAGCTAACCACGTTTTGTTCGGAGATCAGATTTTGGGAACTTCGGCTGCAGCAGGTGTTTCTACACTGAGGAATGTACAAAGTTGCTGTTGATGACAGATGCTGGACACATTTCATACCCCGCAAATAAAGAAGAGCCGTCCTCGAAATTCAACGGATTGGTTCCTTTACAAATTAGTCTGCTCATCCGTAACTTTTTGAGACGTTAATAATTGTCACGTGAATTTTGAGGTTTTCGTGGCGGTTTTGCTGGAGATGTTTTCTAGGTTATGACGTCGAGCAGACTGGCGTATAGGTACTAGTGTGTAGGAGAAACACACTGTATCCGTCTTTAGAGTCTGTCTGTACCTCTATAAATTGGTGCTTGAAACTGATTTTCTGCTCCTTTAGTTAAAACTTTCGACTGTGTTTCTTACAGACGTACATAATTTAAATACAAGACGTAAACATGATCTATATGGGCCAAATGCTAACTTTACTAAATATCAGAAAGGAGTGTACTATACAGGTATCAAGTTGTTTAATAATCTTCCACCAACAGTTAAAAGTCTAAATTATGATATAAAGGTATTCAAGCCTGCATTGAAAGATTACCTCTTTACTCACTCCTTCTATTCTGTACATGATTTCATCTCTGCTGAAAATGTTTAAGCTTTATATCCATAATCTACGTATATGTAAAGCAAGTTTTGTGTTTGTATTTAAAATTCTGAGGTTTATGTATATTACTTTGTAAAATTATTTTTCATACTTGTATTGCAGAATCTGAAATTTATGTACATTGATATGTGAAATACGTTCTTGTACTTGTGTAGAAATTTCTGAAGTGTATGTATATTGTATGAAATGACATGTTCTACATCCTCTGGTTGAGTCCTAAGAAGAATCTATGGAATGTAAATAAACTCTACTCTATCGCAGAAATATGAATCATAGTTAGGCAGCTCTTGAAACAGGAATTAAAAGCAGGCGTGCTGTTATGAGTTTAACTTTGCGCCGCTGGAGAGCGGTATTTTCGCAACGAAACAGAAATTTGAACATTGCAGTTTCAATTGTCTGGTTAAGGTTGTGGAATTTATTTTTATGTGTTCATAAATATTTAAGTGTTGGTAGTGGGGTGTATTCAGTTGCATTCATTGAGGAAGTATGGAGAAAGTATTTTAAAGATAATTACTGTTGTCTTACGTTCTAATTGAAAAACTGTCGTATTTGTCTTCCCACATGGATCGTGGAGGATCGCCTTTCACGCCAAAATCTTTGTTGTCTCCAAGAATACCTCGAACTGCAGCATCAAGCAGGAGATCCGGGATTTTGCCCTCAGTAAAGAAACCATTAGGGTAAGGTTATATAATTATGTCAGTTCGTGGACGAGGTAGTATCAGCCAAGAACTGTGTTTGTGGAAACGACATTTTAATATCTTCTTTCGGGGTGCCGGAGTCTGTGTTCCCTGGATATGCTGAGCAAAACTTATTGTGCTGGTAGGATTGCTTTCATACTAATCACTACTGTGTACATCCCAGGTGTTTGTCATGTGTTTCCTACCTGTGTCCTGATGTAAAGCATGGGGACACCATGATGGAGTTTAACCTTCTTTAGCTTCTTGAGGTCCATACACTGCAGCATGAATTCTTTACTATTTTGCTTGCATGGCGTTCTGAAATAGTTACTCTGTTTATCGATAAATATCTATGTAAATACTAACAAAGGCAAAGCAAATACCTTTTCTTGTTTGTAGACATATTTTAATATTTCCCCAACAGCTCTAAATTCACTGACGATCTAGTTTAGTTGGGTTAGTAATTTATCTCGTGTTTTTTTTTGGACCTACTACACATACTATACAGGCAGGTCATCTTGATGGCACTTGAGGGACAGTGTGAAGGAGAATTGGAATGGAAGAAGGTTTCTGTACGAGTGTGATAGGAAACATTTGCTCTGCTCCAAAGCTTTAGTCTCTTGCTCATAGTTTTACATGTGGTGACATACATCAGCAGTGGTTAACTGTAGCACAAGTAGGCTTTACACAGTAATTCACAGTCAGTAAGGAAACGGAGGTCATTAATAATAATGGTATACTCTACTGGTGTTTTCTTAAGAGTCAGTAGAATGGCTGCTGCTTCTGCAACCTTGATGTGGCTGGACATACTGAGTGGTAACCAGGAAGGCAGCTGTCACAGTATATTACACATACAGTAGTTTGAATATAATACCTACAAGATCTTTAGCTTTGGGTCCCTAATTGCACGGAACCAACTTCAGTAGTTTTCTAAACAGTGTTAATTTTTGTTGTGTGCACTGTTTTAATCCTTTTAAAGCTTTTACATTAACATTTTGTAACACTGCACTCTGCCGTTAAGTAATTACATTAGTGTGTCAATATATTTTGTTAAGAAATGGAAAGGAATCTTGGCATGTCGTTCCCAGTTGATTTTTCGCTATTCATGTCATTTTAGGAGATTCAGCCTGTCAGGTCGATCGAACCAGTCGGTGCAGGTTGTATTCAAGACTGCATATCACATTGTAGAGAGCTTTGGTTCTCAGCTTCCTGTGTTGGTTACCGAAGCGCTAACATTTTCAGACCGTAAGTCAACTTTTAAGATTTAACATTTAACATGCATTCTACAGAAAATAAGAACTCATCCAAAAGAATAATTTTGGTGCATATTGAATTGGGGAAATAATCGTAGGTTTGAAGGAGTTAAATGACATCTAGGCTTTGTTGTAGAATCACGCATTGCATGTTAACATTTCATATCTTACAGGTAGGGGTATGTTATCACACATGTAGAGATTATTAAGTTGGCATGTAATATTGTCAGTTTTGTATTACGATTATTTTCATTTTAGGCAGCACTGCTGTTAGTGTCCACATATCAGTTGATGGTTGGGCTTGGTTTGTTTGTGGACGACGACTTCTTATCTGGCAGTACAAGCAAGCACTGGATGCTGGGAAGCAGCGACGTGTTCTGAGCAGCCAGTGTCAAGAACTAACCCTGCCACCAAGTGATCTTGCTCACAAGGCTGATTTGGTTTCTGTGTACATTGCTGAAGGTAGCCAAGTAAGTATGTCTGGTCAGCTGTTTCTTTTTGGAAGAATAATAATACTCATGTATTAAGACCTATAATGAAAAAGAAATCTGAATTGTGAATGCTTAGCACAGATGTGTCACTTGTCTGGATCCAAAATTCCGTGTATTGTAATGATTGTTGTATTTTGATAGGTGCCATCATGCATCGCTGTTTCGCCTGAAGGGACTGTGCGGTACTGGCCAAGTATTGCACATGAAGGAACATCTGTAGAGGATAATGCAGATCTTCAGGGTCAAGAATGCGATTCTCTGACGGACATCGCTCCTGTCGGCTGTATACTTGCAACTACCACGTCAACCATTGTACTGGTCCAGCCTCAGATAACTGGAGGCCGCCATTCTATTGTGTGTCGCACACTGAAGACACCACAAGGATGGCTTGGTGGTATTGGGCGCAGAATGTCGTCGCTAATCTTCGGAGGTTTACCATCTTCGCAGATTATGGAAACTGTAAGTACGATGTGTCACTCGACATCCTTCGTTGTATTTATGTGCATGTATAATTCTGTAAGGTGGTTGCTAGTTTGGTGACTTATAATGTTTTTTGTCATGGCTGACTTCTCTAGATGGTGTAGATGGATTTGTCTGATCTCTATGGCATTTACAGTTTATCCAGAATGCACCATGTCTGACTCGCAGTAAATGCTGCTTGTGCTTGGTGTGATACTTTTTATATCTCCTGTGTAGTCACAGTTGGTAATACTGTTACAGAAGCTTGTGAAAGTGGTGGCAGTGGCAGGTTCAGGATTTGAATCTGATGAATGGCGAGTGTACGTCCTGGCTGAACAGTCTCTTCAGAAGTGGATTCTAGTCCCAGGGGAGGTTGAAAGACTCGTGTATGAGTTTGATGTTAATCGAATGGTGAGGGAGGCTTTTCACGAGACAGTTTGGGTGAGTTATATTTACTGAGAATTTTTTTGAAAGTTACGTACAATGAAAGCAAGAGAAAGAATGTTATGATTTATGTTGTATACTGTTTGTTGATATTTATACTTTTTAATGGAATGATCTCTCTAATGGTTGGGTAATTTTTTGTGATAGTCCTTCATTAGGCTATAATTTATGAAGTTTCTCATCCCATTTGCTGCCATGTAATGTGTACAGTTGAAATATTAGTATGTAATAACCCAAGAATCAGTTATCATTAATGTGAAGAGAACACTTTTATTATTAAGGTAGGTGTTGCAAATTAAGAGATGTACGTGGAAGTGCCCGATGATATCTGTGGCACTCGGCATGTTATGGTTGTATTTATACATCTGAATATTGACTTTATATTCCTTCTGTCACATCTTATGTGCTGGTCGTATTCACAGACAGTGCACTAGCATACTGCTGAATAGCAACGTAATCCATTGGTTTAAATTGATTTCTTCCATATGATAAAGGGTAATATTTTTCTAATGGGAACCACAGGCATCTGCCCTTCTATTAAAATTATAAACTTGAAACTAATCTGTAAATCAGTAATTATTCAACATAGATATCAAGAATGTCGAATCCTTTTTTATTCCTTATAATTCTTATCAAATCTGAATGTGCACAGTGTGAGCTGTGAATTTTATGCTGTACTGTAGACCGCCCACTTTATTGTTGTTTGTGACCGGAGGCTCGATTTGCTTACTGCTTCAGGAGTCCTCTGTCGGCAGTCTGACTGAACTGCGTACTTGGTTGCTAGACATGCAGCCTGTAGATGGAGGACTCATGTTGCTGGTTGCAGCTGTCAACACCCAGATGTCTCCTCAGCTACACTATGCACTCGGTTAGTGTTGGGCCTCGGTCCGTTTCTTTAATGCGTAAGATCCTAGTTCATCGTGATGATGGGCTGATCTTGCAGGTCATACAAATGAACTGGTAGGTTTCAAGTGGTCTCTGGTACCATCTTTGAAGAAAATGAAAAATTTATAATTCAGGTTATTAAATGCAGGGTTTTTTTTATCAGAATTCCTTTTGTACATGTTTGAAATCTGTTCCTTAAACATTTGGAACCATCCAATGTGCTTGGCGTGGATGGCCTGAATTGCTTACTTTGGGCATCTTATGTGTGACGAAGTTTTCTGAATTCTGCCTGTCATAACTACAGATCATGGCATGGAAAGCTGAATATCCTTTGCTTTGAATGATTTTTGTTTTATTACCTTCTTTTATGAGAATTGTATGTAACAAATATAAATCTGTAAACTGCCAAGAAAATTTTACTGTGTGAATTTGAATGTTTTATTCTTGTACAGGGAAACTTTCTGCTGAAAACATGAATCCGCCAGTGAGGTTTTCTGCATTTTTTCCTTTGAAAAATACTGGTTTTTATCGAGACGAAGATGAAGCAGAGTTGCTCTCGTACCAGTTCCTATTGGTCGGTCCGGCTGCATATGTATACAACCAGAGAGCCGTGGTTGCTGTTTCAGGTGAATGATTTTAAGATAAAATAAAACGAATAAATAAATCAACTACATTTTGTGTTACAGTACTGGAAATTTATACTAACAAAAACTGGTTTTCTCTTTGTTTAGCAATGGTGTTTAATGAAGAACCAGACAACATAGAATTTCTGGGGCCTGGTGATCGTGTTTTGGGTGGGGCCGTGTGTGGGAATGTTGCTGTTTTCTTCTCAAAGGTTCATGGTTTGGTGTCGGTGTCACCTTCTGATTTTTCTCCGCATGACATGAACAGGTAAGCTCATGTACAGTGCGACCTCTTGGCTTGCATTTCCATGTGCTCAAAATCTAGACTTGCGCACAGACAGAAACATTGCAATAATCTAATCACTGAATGAATGGTGTGGTGCTCACCTTGCACCCTATAGATCCATGTGATTCTCAGAGGAGTCCCATGGCTTCCATGGTTCCAGCAAAATCACCAGCCAAAAACTAGTTTTCAGAAAGAACTACAAGTCCAAAAGCTGGATCTTGTCACTTGTTAGTAGCAAAGGAATGCTTAGAACACACCGTCTAGCCACCACTGAAGTTCAATAACAATTTATAGTCTTCTATATGTTTGATATTTTTGAAGGGGATTTGAACATATGACCATCTGCATATGAGCTTTAAACTCTATGCTATGAGCTAAAGTATGTTCTAGTGATGCATTATTAACTTCAAATATTTGGTTATGACTTTAACAGCACAATATTTGTGGGAGTAGACACGTATGTAATTGAGAAGTATGATTGATGAGTTGTACAAAGAAGTTGTTTTAGGAAAAATCTCTTCATTTTCTGTGATTTTATTATTTTGACTAACATGTTGGCAGGACTGTGTAACAGTTCAGAAGGTTATGTTAATCTTCCGCTTTGACATATATTGAACAATTTATGCGATGTGTTTTGCAGCAGTATGAGTTTCAGTGAGGCCCCTGGAGCAATGGATGTGACAGGTTCCCAGTTTTCAGAAGATGTTAACATATCTGTGACAGACGTGGAACTGGAAGAGTTGACCATCAATAAAGACGGCACAGCGCAGATGAAGGCAGCGTTCATCTACTATATAAAAAAGAATTTGGTGAGTTTCCTCATCTGTGTTCATGGGCCTTACAGTTTGTGGTCGCAACATCACGCTGTATTTCCTGTTTCAGACTCAGAGCGAAGCGATTGTGAGCGAAATGTTTCCGCCTGAAGAAGAGCCTGTTATTGATATTGACGCTGCTCTTGACACGATTGCTGTGAAAGTGAGCGAGGATCTTGTGAATGATATTCCTTCTGGTGATCCACGTTGGGCAGAGATGAAGGCACCTGGTGTGTAAAAGAATCAGATTTGTAACTGTCATAAGGTTTTCTGTGTTGAAAAGTATCGTGTAGTGTAGATGCATCCTATGATTTATAATTCAACATAAAACAAACAAAAATGTGTCCTTCTGTGCCCCAGTGCACTCTGTGTTATGTGGGCTGTGGAAGGAAGAAGTGCTCATGTTCTGTGTCTTCATATATTTTCTTTGTTTCATGAGGACTGGTAGTGCCATGGTATAATTGAAAGACTGTTTTTTCCCTTCCCCCTCTTAATAAATTTCAAGTAAACTGGCAGATTTTCATGAAATATGGTTTGAATATCATGCTCCTAGAAGCCACCGTATTTTTGTACTTTGTAATTTCTAACCTTGTCAACACAGACATGACATTCTTGTGAACTGTGGGTTGTGATCAGTGGCACAGTGCATTTGTTCTTGAAGTTTTATGTGGTAATAGAACTTGAAAAAAATATATGCATTCTCTTCTCTCTCTTCTTCTTCTTCTTTCTTTGTGTGTGTGTATAAAGAATCTTGAATCTATGTTTAACAGTCTGTTTTATGGCTGTATCTAATGAACCATTGGTGCTAGGCTTGAGATATTTCGTATTGAGATAGGATAAAAACAAGCTGGCAAATTCCTTGCTAAACTTTCTTTACACATTAATGACTGTGAATATGGCTGCAGTGCAAAATGTTTGTTATATCAGCTGAATTTGATATTTTCAGAATCTGTACTAGTGGGAATTATACACAGAAATGTTTAAGTAAATTATTTGATTATTAATTGGTGATTCTTGCTAGCACAGCAATTGAAGGAAATTTGACATGATAAGTTCTTTGAAGATGTTGCTTTTTTTTTTCTTCAGGTGTCAGTATCAAGAGCTCGTCATCTCTGCACATTCTTCACCAACTCGAAGACAAACAGAAAGCCCTGGAACTTTATATTTCCTTTTTAAAAGACCTCAAATTGTGGAACAGAGTATGTATGTTGTAGTAATTTAATTTTGGTTCATATTGATTAATATAACCCCAGTGTTACATGAAGCTCAAATCAGACTTTACCAAATTTCTCAAAATTGGCTCATCATGTAAATAATTGGCATGCCTACAGGGCATAAAATGTACGTGTGTATAAAATCTTCAGCTTTTATTTGAAACTTTTTTAATACAGCCGATAAGTAATACAATATTTATGAAAATAGTTTATGTGTCTGTGGAGTGTGACATGCTTTGTAACGGTCAGTGTATCTGTGGATCGGAA